TTAGTAATTGTAACTGTGGCTTTTTATCTCAAGTGGCTTATGTGGATGAGAGGATACTTTTACACCTGTGGCTGCAGAGTCATTTTGAAATACAGTCTGGATAGGAGATAAGGTAACAAGTGCGGAGGATTTGATGTGTTTGGTTATTTTGGTATTGGTATGTTTTTCATCTTAAGTTTCACTATTTTAGTTAATAAAAAATGTGGTTTAAGATCAGATCACTTTATTGGCCATATACAATTTCTTGCATTAGGAATTTGTCTTTTTAGCATACCCCAGCTCGCTCTCCATGAGACACGGACAGGGAGAGAAGCTGGGGGTCAGAGCACAGGGTCTGCCATTTATAAGGCGCCCCCGGAGCAGGTGGGGTGAAGGGCCTTGCTGGAAGACCCAGGGGAGTAGGATTCCTCTACCAGCCACAGGAGCAGATCCTTAGGCGCAAAGCCACCGCTCCACCCCTAATTATTTAGCTATTAATTATTATGAACCTTAATTTACATTTAGAAATAAGGTGTAGAACATGTAGTCATGATAACAGATACATCATCTTTTTCCTGGTTCTTAAAATGGCAAATCCTCCTTCTACAAATGTAACCATCAAAAACACTCAAAAGGGGGGGGCGTGAAGAGCTGGCGTACGTGAGGAAAGTGCGGCCTGCAGGTGGCGCCACATGTGCTTTCACTTTCCAGGCGCGTGCAGCAGCGTGGGCACCTGCCAGTCCTCGGCGATGCGCTGGGAGCCGTAGTGCAGCCCCAGGGCCAGGCCCCGGAAGTCCTGCGGAACCAGCAGCTTCCCGCGGGCCTGCCCCAGGGCGGGCGTGTCCCTGCCGCGCCACAGCAGCCGCCAGTCTCCGAAAACCCGCGCCCGTAGCTCACCAGGGCGGCGCGGATGGCGTCGGTCTCGCTGAGCTTCCTCCTTCACCCTCATCAGCACCGTCGCCGTGGGCCGCGCCCCGAGGAAGCGGGTGACCTCCGCCAGCACCTCTCCAAAGGGCGCCCGCTGGTAAATGATGCCGTGGTGGATGGTGAGGTTGCCCCGGACGTGGCGCACTCTTATGCCCAGGAACCGGATGCCCGCTTCCAGCTGGAGCTTGAGTGGCCACGACAAAAGGTCATGGTATTGTGGGTGCCAGGAAGGGTGACCCCTGACAGGAGGTGCCGGTCTGGGAGCTGTGCCATCCAGGAAGGGTTGAGGAACTGGGGCGTGCTGGCGTCATCGTAGTCTGGTCTCTGAATCGACTCCTGACATCCACTGGTGAAAACCCTGAAGACAGGTGAGGTGTCACGATCGTAAGCCCTCCTCTTAAGGGCGCTCCGGCCCTTTCGGATTTTAGTTGATTATGTGCACCTGCCCCCTGTTCTGTCTCCTTATTTAAGCCAGGCGCTCTCACTATTCCAGGCTCACCACTGGGATATGGACGCCCGGAAGCCCACGTACCAGCGGGTCCAGGAGAGAGCCGACGGCATCTGGGTCCGGGGCTCGGAGCACCTGGCCTCATTTCAGATCCCATTCCGGATTTTAACTGGGTTTGTTTAGTCTTGGTTGGATCCCCTGGTTTTGGACTTTGGACTGCGCCCCAGATTCCCCCTTTTGGACTGCCTGAACTTGTTTGCCATCGCCACGCCCCCCGAGCACCGGATCACCGTAGTCACGCCCTCCTGTCTGTCAACCCGTCCTGATCCTCTTCGTCTCCTCCCCTGATGTCCCTCTCCGCTTACTTCCGGATTATACCGTCTGCATAGGGTCCTGAACTACGCTTCGTGGGAGTCTGGACCGGCTCCTGTTACACGATGTTGGTTTTATTACTCATTCGCCTGAATTGTGCTTGAAGTCACATAACACAGCTCACCTCATCTTTCTGTCCAGCCTGGAGCTTCCTAGATCTGTTCCCTGAGACCAGATTCATCCGATTTTTCCCCCATCTGAGCTTATTTAGGAGAATCACCGATTACAGTGCACCCTCGCCTTTTGTAAAGCAGCGCTTTCGTGCAGGATAAGTGGAGCTCTCTGAGATACAGCACTCAAAGAAGACATAGTAACAGGGTCCTAACAGAATGAGGTTGCCAACAGTGACATTCTTTACCTCTGGTTGATTATATGGGTTATTTGTGACAGCTTGCAAATTGATAGTCTGCAAAACACTTGTTTGAAAACATTTATAAAGAAAGGAAACAAATAAAAATAAACTGGAAGCAATATTGACTGGCCCAGCTCGTCTTCCACCCATCCATCCATCCATTGTCTAACTGCTGTATCCAGTACTGGGTCATGGGGAAGCCAGAGCCCCACACACACACACGCATGCACGCACGCACGCACGCACACACACACACTCTCTCTGTCGGTCGAAGAGTTAAGAAAATGAAGCGAAAGCAAATAAAACAAATGTAGTCATTCTGCACTCCACTTGCCCTCTTTAGATAGGTGTTTAAAAGGGAAATAATAGCTATGATGTGGTTTTGGCCAAAAAAATTTAACCATGTTCCTTTTTTTCTTCTACTCAAGAGCATAGTGCCCAGAAAGCATTTTAGGAAGTACGTTTTTAAGAGATACTGTATGCCTGTAACAACTTCTTTAAATACATAGACTGGAACCAGAAACCTGCAACAAAGCATCATTTGTATAAGTCTGTACAAGAAATGCATAGAAGGAGATACTTAAAAAAAAAGATTCATCTATCCATCTGGTTCACTTATCTCTTTATAATCAGTGAGATGGGGTGAGCTGGAGCCTAGCTCCGCAGACACAGACCCCAGACAGGACATTCCTTGCAGAGAAGGTGGGGGAACAGTTTAGTGCTGCCAGTTCCTGTACGTTTTGGGACTGGGGGACAAAACTGGAGTTCCTGCAGAAACGCCACTTAGAAATGGAGAAATATTCAAATTCCACACGTATTGCAATGAATGCTTTTTTAATTATAAGATCATGCTTAATTGTAATTATTGTCTGCTTTCGTGCACACCCAATTTTGAAAACACCAGTTGCAGCAGGGTGCAGGGCCCATCAGTGTGAGTACATTCCTCTGCTGACAGGGGGGTCAATCAGCTCTTCACACACTGTGACTTTCACAGGTTCCGACAGGAGAGTTAACACCTGCAGGAGGAGCAGTATCGCCGTCAGCCTTCACCGACACTACTGCATCGTCACAGACACCCAAAAGTTCAAGAAACTCAGGACAACAGATGCACTTTAAAATCCCGGAGAAATCTGCAATTCCACTGGCGCAATCTGCTCTGTTTCTACTGTAGTGAGTTGCAAAGGCTGAAATCTCTATCTTATTCTAAGCATGCAAGGTACTGAGGTACTGTACTGATTGTCATTTATTGGGAATTTGGGATACATGCACTACGAAGAATCCAAGCTTGAGCAGACGTTTCCAAAGAATCCTGACAGCTCTTCCATTGGTGTCCAATCTTAACTTGGATCACATCATTTTCTCTAACATTGTTTTCAGTGCTTCCTTAAATGTTGCCATTTTTGAGTTTTATATTCTTGCTTCAAGGCCAAGAGAGCTCTCCATCTGCCTCCTCGTTATTTAAAAGGTATCATTTTGAAAGACATGTGAGTGGGGATCTGCTGCAGCAGGCATTGGCAGTTTTAACTTAATGAACCTAATGAAGATATAGCACAGGGGAGCAAAGCCTGAAACACGATGCCACTGATCTGATCAGGAAGTTCACATCTCTTAAGCCTGTAAGAAACCTGAGGAATTTCACCCAACAAAGCTTGATTTCTCAATAATTATTTTCTCTAAACCACACAACCAAAACATAGACTGAAGATTTCTCACTAACCAATCATGACCTCCTAATAACCCCCATCTCTGAACTGGCTTCATCACTCTGCTCTCCTCCCCACTGAGAGCTGGTGTGTGAGGAGCGGACTGGCGCATCATCCAGGTGGGGCTGCACGCTGGTGGTGGTGGTGGAGGGGACCCTGTTGTCATCCAACTGGTAAGTTTTTATATGCAATAAATGTGCAAATAGCAGCTGAGCATGATTTAGGACACTCCCTGCACAGCGTATGCCTCAGATCCACTCCCCGGAAAAAAAACTATTCATAAACTCAACTGTCAATATTGAAACTGCACTTCTAATTCAAGTACCAGCTCTTAGGGCTAGTATGCATCCAAAATTATACTTTTGCATTTTCATTTTATGTCCACTCAATTCAGAATCGCTAATTGTTTCTTTACTTCACTACCTCTTTACTAATCTCACAACAATGGCTCCTGTGCTGGAGAATGAAGGACAGATGTGCTCCTGTGATCAGCTCATAAGTCGCAGAGATTCATCTTTAGACAGGCAGCAGGCCCCACAATAAGGTACATGAGGGCTGCTGATGTGTCCTTGATTGTCACTACAAATCTGCAGTTCTGGGCTCAGCGTTTCGCAGGTAACCAAAAGAACACTGCTCGATTGATCCTGGCCCCATTCCGGTCACTGCTTGCTGAATTAGGGTCCAGAAGAGCAATTTTTGAAAACTCAGCACTGTTATTTTTACAGGGACATTTTGAAATTTGAAAACCTCACCACAGGTCGCAGCTGGAATGCAGGTCTCGGTCTCCAGAAGGCTTGACGTCTCTGTCGCAGCAGGCTGGACCTGATGCTGGGTCATGCAGATATCAGAGCTTACCCTGGGTCTGCCTACTGTACCTCCAATTTTGCATTTCCTAATTTGAATGGGCTTGTCAGAGATGTCCACGAAAGAGTCTCAACAGGCTCAGAGAGGCCCTCAGAGTGGACATTCTGAATTTATTTACTCCCTGTTATAAACCATTTTTGAAGAGATTCTCAAACATGGTCAATTTAGTTCAGAAAATAGATGATTGTATCAATATTTGCTGTGAGTGTAGTAAGTATGACATGTTAGGTCTCTCTTTAGATAATAAAGCTTTTGCATTCTGCATTGATTTAATAGTTATGTATTATGTGTTGCAAGTTGCTGATAATGGGAATGACAGAAATCCGAAACACTCTGGAATAGCGAACCAGTGGCAATTTGCAAACACCTGAGTTCTAAAAATTCAATGGCAGCAGTGTTTCACTCCTTTAGGATTCAGCACCCATGGTGGGCGTCCTGTAAAAGACAAAGCATGGTGAAGGAGTAAAACAGTCTAGAATACCATGCTGTGGCTATCCACAAGAGCTCAGTATGGGCGATAAGACCAGTTCCCAGCTTTTCCTTCTGTGGGTGTCTCAGAGATTTTTCAGAACTCCTCTAGTGGATATGGAAAAAATAGGAAATTGAAGCAAAAAGGCAGTAACAGTAATATACAGACAGAAAGACACACTTGTGTTGGGCTGTCTTGTGTTGGACACACAAAAACAAGAAAAACTTTTAGTACAATACACATACATAAATATTCTTTTCAAGTTTATAATCGACTGTATATTACAAATTTTTATTATTATTATTATTATTATTATTATTATTATTATTATTATTATCACACAACCTTTACCTGGCTGCACAGGATGGCTGGTATCTCTGGCTGGCCAGCCTTTAGGTGACTGAAAAAGTCCACAGTAGCATTATCAGCTGCAGTCCATGTCCAGGGTCACTTTCCATATCTGTACGAGTGGGTGGGATTGCCAGATCACACCACCCCTCACAGCCCCCCCGCCCATCTCTCGCATTCACCCAGGCTCACAGACAGACACTGACTGAACAGCCAAGCACAGGGCTCAGCACCCTTTCACCAGCACCTCTCTGGCCAGCCTGTCCTGAGCTGGCTTCATGGACAGCAAAAAGAGGAAAGAGGTCCAACTCGCTCATTTTGTAGTTCAGTGTGTTCCCATAATTATCTTCTTTGGGACCTGTGATGCAGCCTGTGTGGAGTTTGCATGTTCTCCTCATGTTTTTGCGTGGGTTTTCTCTGGGTGCTCGATTTCCTCCCACAGGCCAAAGACAACCTGACGGGTTATTTGGCCGCTGGAAAAATGTGTATGTCTGGTGTGTCTGTGCGCCTGTCTGTCTGCCCTGCAATGAACACATTCTTATAATAACATACAACAGCACCATTGACAACAATCATAACATTCACTGGGCACATTATTATAAGTGAGGTCTTACTTAAAGCCAACACGGATTTCAAAAGTGAATTTTCTCCTGTGGTCTAGGTTTGCGTAGCTCTGAAGTGTCCCTTTGGCTGTGGTCCTGGGACAGACTGGCCTCCTGTCCAGGATCATGGGGAACAGTTCATGGGGAGTGCTCCGTCTGTCCCACCGTGTGTCCTGTATGGAAGCCCGTTTCCGCCAGGGAGTAAAAAAAACGCGCAACGTTTCTCGCAATTGCGACTTCATATCTCAGAATTGCGACTTAAAAACTCAGAACCGTGTGTCCTGTGGTCCCGGAATGGAAGCAGCTGTTGATTAATGGCTGGATGGCACAACTAGACGCAGATACATTTACAAACACCGAGTTAAATTTTTAGTGTCAAAAACCTGACTCCGCAAATCTTGATTGATTTTCCAACAGGCCAGGTAGAGAACAGGTAAAAGACTAAACAGAAATAAGGAATGGCACAGTTTACCTACGGGGACTTTTATTTGAAGACACCCCCCACCTCAAAATCCAGCAAGGTGGTCTTTAGAGACCGTTTTACAGCACTAAACGGGATTTAACTTTAAAAACACTTATCCGGGCTGGAAAAAGGCTTAAGTTGTGAAACTGCAGAAATATAACTCATCAAAAAGATTTCCATTGACCTGGTCCTCGCACATTTCTCGAAATATTTTGAAAGCACCTTTTTTAATTTATCAGACAACACACGTAGCCCAATAATAACGTTATTATTATTATTATTATTATTATTATTATTATTATTATTATTATTATGCCTCTTGTTCTGTTAGATTCTGGGGATCTCTGTATCGACGTCCACAATCTGTGCGCAACTGGTGCCCGAATTGCTCCCAGGGGATTTCAGCCGATAGAAGCGGCCCTGTTTGACACCTGTCGTGTCGTGTCGTGGCGACTAAACGGCTGGGCAGTGTCTGCTCGCGCCCTGGCAGCCGATTAACTCATCAAAGCAGACAGAAGAGGAGAATCACGTGCGGCAGAAAGAGCTCTTTCAGATTTTGATTTTAGGCAGCACCTCTCTGGCACGGATGCATTCTCTCTCTATTGAAGTGCTCGGAAAATAACTGTCACTATTTGAACAGACCGGTGAGTTTTAAACACCTTTGTAAAAATATTGTATAAGACACTTGTATTCCATGTGGTTGAATTAAATACATACTGGTATGTAGATAATTGGTTTTGTGGTACAGCAAATCTCTTTTCTGGCGGTGTCCGCGTATAGAAATAAACGGTAATGCGTTAAAAACGCTTTTTATTAGAGGGGTTTGCAGGAATTAACTTGTAAAAGTTCGGGGTCAAGTTGTTCAACCTCGAGAGAGGAGATGTTTCAGTTGTTTTTTGTTCTCTCTCTCCCTGGTGCTGTGCCAGAGCGCCGATATGCCGCGGCGGTGTTTGAGGTTTGAGCTGCGGAGCCGCAGCTGCTGTTGTCCGGCTCGATCGGCGCTGTCCCGGAGAGCGTCACTGTGTCGTCTTGTTCCAGAAAGTAAATACGGATCTATAAACCAAAGACGTGTGCCCTCAGTGAGTGCGGGTCTCATACCCGCCTAACCGCCTCTTTTTTAAGTGTCCACAAGTGCCCACGGCCTCAGGGTCTGTTTTTATCAATAACAGGTGCTACTGTGCGTAGTTTTTCTCTGACAGATTTCTAGCAGTTTCATATGCGGTGACTGGCATTAACAACGTGTTTTCAACAGTATTTCGGTACCCACCAGTTGTTCCCAGCAATATCCCGACAGCTATCCCTGTCGATTCCTTCATCAGATTTATTTTTTAACAGGGGGGTCTTCCTTAGCTTCTGCAAATGTTACAGATGTGAATGTCCTGCAGTTTTCGTTTCAGATCACACCGAGATGGTACACTAGTCTCAGGCAATAGTGTTTCCCTAATAGTCTTACCAGCACTCTGCTCCAAGTGCCTAAATAAAGTTGCACCTAAAGCAGGGGACAGAGGTACTGTACATTGTGGTGGGCATTCATTCAACCCACCAGATGTCCACAAACACGTGTTCCACTGTCTTCATCCCCTGAGAGTAGGAAGGTATAATCTGATTTACTCCACAAATCTGAGAACAGAACTGCAGCATGGAGGTGTCCTGTATCAGAAGGGAGCTGTCTATAAGCACCAGAATAATGTGCACAAGCTCCAAATATAAATTTACTGTACTTGACCGAACACACTGCTCAGCCTTTCCTTCTTCTTGAACCCAGGCCAGTTGGGTAATGTTTTCTCCTCCCCTCTAAAGCAGATGAACACTTGGAAATACAGTACCCTGCAGCGGTTATACTGAAAACTCTTTTCTTACCAGGCTTTGCCTTGGAACTCATGGACCAAGAGCACATTCTTGGGAGCCTTATGGTGCCAATACCTGTTTATCTGAAGGTGTTTGTGCAGCATGGTGAGGGTAAACTGAAGTCTGCCTGGATCATAATTTGAGTACAGATTAGTAAAGCTGTAGTTGGCTCAGCGTATTGACTTGGTGCCTCTTTCTTCCTTAGTTTTGTCAATCTGGGCTCGTTTTCTACCTCCAAAGCTACAGTGACTTATCTGTACGTCCCTACTTGACCAGGTTCTCACATTCTCCCACCATAAAACCCAATCTAAACCTTCATTACAGCTACAGACTCAATATACAACAGTTTCTGTGTCTCAGCTGCCTACAGTGCGTCCCACAGGCCAAGGGTAAGCACATGGCTTTGGTGGAGTCACCTGGCGTGCTGTTTGGGAACTGCTGAAAGGTTGTATGCAAATACAAACTGGCTTTTCTGTGGCAGCGGTTCATTTAAATAACGGATAGAGTATGTATTCGCAGGCACATTTCAATTTGTTTGTGTTTCTGAGTCAGCACAGAGACTGGGAGCCTGTTCTGGGTGCTACTGAGTCAAGTGAAGGTGTGGACAGCTGTCCAGACCCCATCTGAATTCCCCTGGGCCCAGCTGTTCTGTAAGAGACAGTTGGTGCTCAGTTGGCTCTTTCTGGCTAATGAAAGGGCTCAATTATTGGAAAGCCCTTGAGGGAGGAGGAGAGGAGGGGGGGGAGAACAGGCTCTGGACTTGTGGCACACCAGCTGACAGTTTAAGAGCCTGCATGTGTATGCAGGTCCTTCTTTCACTGAACAGCTAGGGCTACAGTACAAATAATGGTACAGTCCATATGAGCACCCCTGCTCACTGAACCTACATGGGAGTGCCCCAAGCAGGGATTGCTGGGAAGAAGAAGAGAGACTGGGAATTTGGAGAGTGAGGAAGAAGGAGAAGGACCCTGAAGAGGTGAGTGGGCAAAGCAGCTCAGAGACAGAGAGCCCCTGTGGGTCTGGAGACATTTGCAGGGTACAGGATTCAAGGCCAAGACCAAGATCCCTGCTTGTCAGGTGCAGTGAGGTCTGAGGTCTGTGATACAGAGGGGGGGGGAGAGGGCATTCTGCCGTGCATAAACAAGGAAATGGGAGAGCAAACGGATAATGAAGACAGGAGGGAAGCCATAGTGGGAGAGGGGGCTTGAAAGTGTGTGGATACAGAAAGCATTTCTGGGGGACTCCATTCTCACATGCCCAGGGAGACACAGGAAGGAGCTTGCATTGTCTTCATTTGGCTTCTTTAGTTGGTTTCTGTTTGTTCTTTTCTGGCCTCCCAGGCTTGTTTCCAAGTGCTCTGGCTGTCAAACAGGCGGATGTCTGAAAGGGAGAGAAAGCAAACTGTCACTTTCCAGCCATTGTCGAGGCAAACCCCCACATGGCAGGTGCTACACTGCTCACAGTGTAGTTGCTCGAACAGTATATTTGTTTACTTGCAAAGTCTTTAAAGGGCATTGCCAGCCCTTTAAACAAAATGGCTGTTTAACATGGAGGAGAAACAGAAACTCATTTCCTGTTACTGCTGTGGCTGTGTGTGGAGGTTTGTACCACACCACTGACTAATCTGGGCATTTATCTGGGTCAGAAATCCACAGAAGCTACAAAAAAGCCGGAGAATATAGTTCTAGCAGGATGTATACTTGTTTAATTAAAGGGATTTCAGGAAGTGGGCCTGTACTAACTGACACATACCGGCAAGCACTGTTGCCTTAGTAACAGTCAGGGCCCTGGAACAATACCTTCCAACAGTTTTAAAACTATGTTTGCAAGCTTTCAGATGGTGCAAAGTGTTGCTAGAAACGGTACAAGTGTGTGTGCCTAGTAGACAGATACAGACACACCCCCAGGAAACAGTAAACAACTGCTAGTGTACCGTTTTCTGTGCTGACAGTTACTTTCAAGTGCATTCCTGTCTGTCAGTTAGCCCTCAGCTAGACCTTAACTGCCGATCTTATCTCGAGAAGAATTTGAGCAATGTCCCTAATGGTGAAGGGCTTCAGTTAAAAACTCTGGAAAAGGTGTAAGGTTTCGTTTTTAAGAGGCAGTTTTAGTTTGACCTCACTAAGATGGCTGCTGCACTGACTGCTTCTTCCCCTTGTGGGTGTGGAAGTGTCAATATTCTGAATTACAGGCCTCCGATTGTGAGGCGCCAATATGTACCCTGATGTAAAACAAATCTGAGTGTCACTCTGTGGGAAATTAACCCTTTCCACGCTGCCCACTGGCATGTAAGACAAGGAAGCGATGGATTTGCTATCACAACACATACAGTATGAAGCAGAAAAACATATACAGTATAAAAGGAACTACCTTTCTCACGTTTAGAGATACAGTAAAGAACCAGTTTAAAGATCCAAACTCCCATAAACTTAATGAACAGGCTGGTTCCAATCTTGGCTTAGATCCCAGATAGTCTTTTCTCCTCCCTCCATAATTAAGGTATTTATTTGAAATCAAGAAACCTTCCAAAATTCACAAAAGGAGGCGTTTTAAACAATTAAGACACACCCATTGAGACTTTCCTCCTCACATGTTTAGATTCTGAACTGTGTTGTCCGAAAAGACACCGACAGAATGAGGTCCAGGCTGGTATTTACAATTATCAGACATTGGAAATGTAAAGGGTTAATAAAAGAAACACAACATATGTGTATTGTTGTATTTAGCTGTAGTGTGTTGCAAGATGTGTCTCATTGGTGGTGCAGAACGGGGGTCTAAATGAAAGCAAAAGCCTAAATGTGGAGAGGCCCTGTCTCCCCGTGAACATGGAAGAGTTTGGGACAGGGAGAACAGTGAGTTTCACTGGTGCTGAGATGAGTTGTTCTCCTTTATTTTTCTGTTGCCTTTCTGCAGCTTGTGGTTGGTCTGTGCGCAGGGCCACATGTCGCAGCTAGAAAGTCACCAAGGCCTCTGGGCAGTCAGTGAACTCCTGCATTCTCGAGTGAGGCTGGGCAAAAAGCATTCTCTGGGGTTAAACGTGCCTGCCTTCAGGGTTTAGGCTCTGTAGCTCACGCGCGAGTCCTGCAGATTAAAAGACTTAATGTCCGCTCAGCTTCTCTCGCCTTGAAAGCCTTGTCCTACGTGTGCTGTCAGTTTATCCTGCCAGTGGTCTGTTTAACCTGGCACGGGAGCTATACCAACGAAAGTAAGTTTTAAACCTTGTTTTAACTGCCTCCGAAGGATTTACTACTGTCTTATTAATTCGCCGTTCGCTTTTAATGCCGATGAGTAACTTGCAGCGTGTTCTCAATGGGCATAATCTGAGAAGAATTTAAAACACAGAATCATGCACAAAACCGCTATAGGATTTGTTGCATACACAGATTTAAAGAACAGAAAATAAGATAAGCACTGCTTTACAAAGATACCAGCTACTAGTATTCAAATAAATGTATCGTCATCACATGGTACTGGTTTCCCCATATTCTGATGCCTATTAATGTAAAACAGGACTGGTACAAGCTCTCGGCTTGAGCACAGCCCAGCTGTAATGGTGGTTGTACAGATTAAGCCATCACAGGACACGTACCTTTCTGGTTTGCCTCGCCTGAGCGTCCTCCCTGAGCATGTCTGCGCGCCCAGGCTGACAAGCA